TACAGATTGACAATTTTGAGATTTTTTTTTTTAATAAAAAAAATCCTGTTGGCAACAAAACATGAAAAGAACTACAGTCTTATTCCAATCAACGTCTTCCTGTAATCTTCCCAAGCCTGCTCGAGGTGCTTCTCATCTTTCTACTGTCACAGGACCTAGCAGTCCCACACAAAAAAGACGACCCTAAAATGCTAGACAGCAGTCAAGCTAAACATAATACCAGATATTTGATTAAAGAGCTGAAGTGCAAGACTAGATGCAACACATGAGGGAGGAGTGAAACAATGAGACAGCACATCAGCAGCCTTAAGTGTCAGGAGCCTCCAAAGTCCCTGGAACTTTGTTGAACTACCAGCACAGAAACCAATATCTCTATCTGGTTTTGATGGCCCAGCTAGAATCTTACCAACCCTGCAGTAAAACAAATAGACCAAAAGCAACCTTCCCTACTGCCCCCAAAAATTAAAAACTTCCTATTCCTGAAGAACTGCTTAACAGTAGAAGGGTTTCCTTCCTGTCTTCCTTCCAGAGCAGAGACTCTCAAACAAGAGCTCACAGGCATTTACAAGGACTTGGCACATGGTATATAGCTGCTGCTTCAAAATTTATTCAACTGCAGTGAAAGTGGGAGATGTGTGCCTTCTTCATTCTCATATTCAGAACCCTAACTAATATGTCAAATAAATTTCCCCCATGCTCACGGCATAATGGAAAAAGCTGTTGTATACACACAGTATTATTTATAAAAGTTGTACTAGTTCTAAAAATTTTAATTCTTATATACATCAGTTGTTTTCCTGAGTGCTTTACACTAAAATACCTGCTAATTAAATTTTAATTTGTTCTCCAATGCGTTAACTACATCACCATGTAGATTAGAGACAAAAACTAGCATGTTTCAGTCGATTTTGGCTTTAAGTTATGAAGTAGAAACTGCTGTCAAAAAGCAAACTATAAATCATATCTACAAATGGTACTGTAAGCGCCAAAACCCTAAATTTTTAGGTAAACTTTTAGGTTACTATTACTGTTGTAGGGAAAAGGCCTCTATGCAAAATTTTTCTGAAGCTGAACAAAGAAATACAACCATTTGCTGTGGAGAGGCCAAAACCCTACTCGATAGCCTTGCTGAATATTGATGCTTGAGTAAATTCGTTTTTGTAGAAGACACAAGAAATGGTTTGAGTCTGCAATTCACCTGCTGTTACAGAGGAAAAGCGGTCATAGTAACAGCCACTTCCAATGCCCAACATAACATGGGTTGTATACTTCTTTTAAAGTCATATTTATATGAACAAATTCTAGTTTTTTCATTAAAGGCATGCCATCGTGTTTTCAGCGCTGGCAGTGATGGACAAAACCCATCACAACCCACTACAAAATGTTCTAGCAGTTCATCATCTTGTCAGGAATAATGTCCCACTTTTCTCTTTGTTTAATGTCAGTTTAATTAGGGTTCATCAAACACCTAATATTTGCTGGATGGAAAGACCATCTACAATGACATCACTTTGCAATGTAGTTTCTTTTAGATGATGGAAACAACGACCATTCCTCAGAAACAACGATCATTTAAGATCCTTATCAACGTTTCGTTAAAATCATTGGCTAATCTCTCCACCTTTATCTCAACATTATTCTCCCCAACTTGCTAACATCTACACTTTTCTTCAAATCTGATGTCCAAACTTGACATAGCACTGCACCAAAGAGCCAAATCACATCTCGACTCAAAATCACGCAGTCCTTTTTGGCATAACTTTGCAAATCTGTTTATTTTTGTATTTGCTATCCTCTAGGATATTTTTTATTTTTTTTATTTTTAAATTAAAATCTTTCTTCTTCAGAGAACACTCTATACAATTTTCAATTTCCAAAGTAGCCTTACACTAAACCAGTGGCTCCCTATCAGGTGAGGCAGGTAGCACTGGGAAGTTACAAACTGATAAGAGGTCAGGCAGAGACCAACTGAACTAAGGTGTCTAAGCCCAGGCTGGTTCCTGCAAGGCCGGGCAGGACCATGCCAGCCTCCCAGAAAGGGCACAATACAAAGCAGAGCGCAAATGTTGCCCAAGTGGCTCTTGGCTTTGCTGAGTCCACCTGGGGAAGAAGGTGGCAATCCATGAAGGTACCCTGCTCCATGCAGGAGAAGCTAGACAAAGCAAAGCTTGAGACATTGTTGGTTTTCTCAAGTGAAGAGTAGCTGTCAAAGGACTGGAAATCATGGCATTGCACTGTTAGAATGTATATGTTTCATTTATAGTTGATGTATCACAAAATGCAAATTAATTTATATAAATGACCTTCAATTTCACACTCCACAGATACATAGGCTGATAATTTTCCATTGTATTTTGAGATAGACATATTACCCCCTTTGAGAATATATTTATCATGTGTTATGTTAATTTCCATGTTCTAATTTCTTGAATAAAATGTGATACAGCATGATATGTTATAGAAGTGTTTTATTTCATTAATTTTACCTTCAACAGCCAGCTGGTAATCTCATCACAGAATAACCTAGTTTTCAGCCTCCAGTTTCTGCACCTTTACAAAGATCGTAATCAACGATTCTTAGTCTTTCTCTTAACATTTCTCTTAATTGAGCCTTGCTCCAATATTTGCATCAAATCAACACCAGACTGGTACACCCATAACTGAATGTGCTATTTCATTTACTTTTTTCTTTTGGTAAACATTAGCTTTTTTCCAAATTCCCTAGAATGCCCTCAAGTGCCTCTAGAAGAAAACTCTAGAAGAAAACTCTAGAAGAAAACTCTAGAAGAAAACTCTAGAAGAAAACTCTAGAAGAAAAACAATTATTGGTGGTTAAGAAAAATCCTCAGCCATCTTTTTAAAACTCTGTAGTTCGACATATCTTGCCTGGCTAATTTCAAAATGTCAAGATTTCACAGCGGCTGTTTCATGCCCCCCTTGTTGCTAGAACAGAACTACGTTATGATGCAACAAAACCTAGCTTTCCCCTCTAAACGCAAACCAAAAGCACTTACTGAACACAGCTGCTTTTTCAATTACCACTGAATTTTTTATCATTGCACTAATAGGCCAATAACAGCTGCATGTGTGTTCTCAACTGACTTGAAGACTGGTCGTTGGCCGCCTACCTCCTGGGCTGAGATCCTCTGCCTTCATACCGTGTGGCTCTCTTCAGCCATCTGCTGCAGTTCCTACTTGTCATTTATGACAACCAGCATCTGCTTCCCGCTTTTTAAACCCTGGACATGCACATATACAAATGCACACTTATTATGTGTATATGTGTACATATACACACCTGCCTTCCCTTTCCTTCAAAGCAGTTTTTAAATTATGATCTTCTCTCTTGATTGCGGCTCTCACCAATATCTACTAAAACATTCTCAAAGATCTTCTAATCCTCACTGACTCCCGCAACCCACACAATGACATTCCAAATCCAAAAGGAAAAGAAATGTAATACTGGACTAGAAGACAGGAAAACTAAGATAAACAGAAAAAAAATCCAAACATTATCTGTATTATATTTTATGCCTTACAATCCTTGATGCCCATTATCAGCTCACACCACGATCTTTTTCATAGGGACACAGTCTCCCTCAGACCTCTTTTTACATGTAAAAATCCCAGAACACATATTCAGCTTCTATCTGTGCTTTTCTATTGTTCATGGAAAGAGAAAGCTGTGTACACAGGGAGAGTATCAACTGACCTAAGTGATACTCATTGCGCAGGTTCAACAATGCTGGTCCCTTGAAAAACTTGAGGGTGTTACCCAAAGGATTAAGTTTATAGTCTTCACGTTACTTGCAAAACACTAAGTCATGATCAAAATCCTGTGTATTGTTTCCCTCAAAGGCAACAGAAAGCACACTTTTATTTACAAGTCAATTACTATTGAGTAATTACTCAATTACAACTCAGTTACTATTTTTTCCTATAGCATTGATCAGCCCAGTCACTCATGATTACCTGAGTAGGTCTGAACTGAACAAATACCACTTCAAAGCAGAGACTTTTGCACTGAAGAGCACAGTACAATATAAAACAATTTCTTTCCATGATTGCAACATTCTCCATTTGTCTGAAGCTCTGCCTACTTTATATCACATCAAAAAGTCCTCAGCAAACAGGCTCATATGAGTCACGAAGCTGAACACCACTGGTATCAGGGTCTTGAACACTTGTGGTTCCTGGTACACACAGTAAACTGCTGTAACAAGTTGTCATCTTGATTACCTTTACCTATGGTGGAAATAGAAAGCTCCAGTGACAGAATCCAGAGCAAACTTTGCAGGATACTTTATATATATAATATGACTGTATGGTAAGTATTAATGCAGTTTTAAAGCTTTCAGAGTATTTGTCCTGTGTATTCCTACTAATATACCAAAATATGCCAAAAAAGATTACAATTCACAGTGAATTATCTTGTATTGTAGAACGGGTAATTGTACTCCATACACTTTACAAGTCTCTACTCCTGGAAAAACTAGTAAAATTAAGTTTCATGAGGCCAAAAATTCCCTAAAAAATTAAAATTAATTCTGCTATAAATACATCTTTATTCCATTTATGCACACAGCTCTTTTTATAGCTGTTAAACCTCCTCTCTTTCCCCTTTTTAAACACTATTGAAACTGTCAGGAACTACATTTTACATTTTAACAATCATTGCATACACATCATGATTCCTAGAATTTAAAATGGAATTGTTGATGGTTCAGATACTGTTAAACTGTCATTAGTTTTCCAAAGTATGTAATTTGTCATTTTAGAAGAAATGACAGTACCTTCACGTGTACAACATTCTTTTAAACTTCCTCTAATTTCAAAACGCCAGTATTATATTCTGCTTCAAGAGGTATATTTTTAAGGCTTGCAGGTTGGCTTGACACAGAGCAATGTGTCAGGTAGTATTTTGTCTTCATTAAGGTTTATTCACATAAAGTGATTGGCTTGTCCGTGGCATTCCCCAAAGATAACACATTCTGTCTTACCTGATGGTAACAAGACCTGTGTTAAATTTTCACTTTCCTCATCAGTGCTGCCATCATAGTCATTTTCTCTCCTTGTACCCATCTGACTGGAAGCAGCAGTATCAAAAAAAAAAAAAAAAAAAAGAAAGAAACCCCACATCTTTGCCATCTATTATTCCCACAAAGAATTTATAATTATTAGGTAATGTAAGCTGATACATACACATACATACTCAACATAGAGTCTCCACGCTGAATAACTTAGCATATTCAGATCCAAGGACAGTCAATAAAAGCTAAGTTAAGATATAAAAAAGTAGGATAAAAATACCAAACAAATTAATGTGTAATGTAGGATTAGAATGATCCATCTTCTCTGGATATTTTTGAAATAAAAAATACATGAAAACGTTTAGATTTAGGCATTCTCGTTTCCCAAAGCACAAAAGGAATCAAATAATTCAAGGAGAATGCATAAGAAAGTACCACCTATGGAAATGGCAGAGACATACTCTGATTGGAAAATCAACTGCAATGTAACAGAAAAAAGAAGAGGACAGATTAATTGAGTTTTTGGCTACAGCACCCAAGGCACTATGCTGCTATTTGCAGTGACGCTAACAGAATTGTTTTGGATAACCAAGCACTTAGCCAGGAAGAACTGTCACTCACTGTTAGACCCAAAGAAATGGAAACTAAACTAAAATATGCATCAGGTATGATACCAAGTAACTCAGGAAAATTTGGAAATACCTTGTACATTTGGCATCTGCTGCAGATTCTTTAGCGTCGTTCAACAGCTTCTGTAAGTTTCTTATCTTCGCTTTCTTTTCATTCAGCACCAAAATAAACCGGTTATAGAGATCTGACTCTAGTTCTTCTTTAGCTTCCACACATTTTTCCAACCTACAATGTAAAATTAATTGTTACAATATTCCTTTTTAATATTCCATGTTTCATGGGAGAAAACTCTGTAGTGAACTCAGCCTTTCTGTTACAGGAATCTCCATACCAAACCGTGCACGACTAGTCCAGTGTCCTGTGTTTGAAATAGGCCAAAAGGAGCTTTTTTTCACAGAGAAGTGAAATGAACTTTGCTACCCAAAGAGGAATGTTTCCAAGGGGAAAGCTTTCTCTTCATGCTTTTTTTTTTTTTTTTTTGACAGGTTCTTGCACACATGCAGCTGAGATAACTAAAATTTAAACAGGCAAGTGTTCTTTAGTTTCAATGCTGAATTCACCATAATGGGCATAACTTAGCAGGATACACATAATGAGATTACAAATAGATATGATTAAGCTTGACAGGTCCCAAATCAGGACCACACACTCTGACTTGCAATATATTTGAACAGGAAAAAAAAAAAACCAACAAAAACAAAACCCAAGAAATAGGCAACTGCACTCCAACATGGGCTGAGATGACCATTGCCCAATACATTGGGCAACGACAACAGCCCCAGAACTCTTTCCTTGCCAGGATTCCCCAGGCAGACATAGGAGATACAGGCCTTTGACTGATTATTTTCTAGCAAAATCCTTGCCCATCTTGTTCTGGTGAGCTGGCGAGGTACAGAAACCAGTTCCTGGCAAAGCTCAACCGGACACTGCCGCAATTCCTGAAGGCAACCATAATCCCTTACATGCTTTCAGACAAATAGAATGCTAATTCTATTTGCTAATACAACTCCCTTTCTAATTACACAGGTAAAGAGCTGAGATCTTGGTACGCTTACAGCCACCATTAGGCAGATATTTTATTTTTCCAATGGAACAATCACAATTACTTGGCAGAGGACTAAACACAATATATAAAAAATGTTTTAAAAGCTCTTAATTAATATCTTCAGAGTAAAATATGCTTCAGATTTCTAAAGGTTTAATGTGCACCTGTAGGTAGGTGAATATCAATAAAACTAAGCACAATAGAAATATAAAATTAAGAATATGGATGTACACTGTCTCATCATCAAAGCAAAACTAGCATATAAGCAAATATGAGCACAATAAATGAAGTGACTTATAGCAAATGAGATCCTATATTTAATTCTTGTAGTCCATAATTTTTTAGTACTTGGGTCAAACCACAAACATTTTAATAGCTGTGTTCGTAACAAGCAAATAAACGTTTTGATAATCTTATTGATCACGGTAACTACAGTATTATAGCAACTGGTCATAATTTATAAACGACATTCTTTTTACCAACCTGTGCAAGGTGGTAAAGTTTAGAAGAATTCCTTTGTTATTAAATCCAAACACGTAAGAGTTTTAAAAAATATTAATAAGGTAGGAAATTTCAACAGACTTCCTATATAAATACTGATTATTTTGTTCATAGATCAAAACCATATATGATGTAAGAAGAACAACAATAGAAAATAATCTCATGAAGTATTAAGTCTACTGTGCAATGCTTTAGGGATATGCTTGATAGTTGATAAATAATTCATCTAATTTAAATGCAAATAGCAGAACATCATTACCATATAGATCGGTTCAATAATTCCTAAATGAAAGATCATATGTACTAATCAACTACCAGGAGACTTTCCACCTACAAAGAGAAAGTTAACCATTTAGTGGGGAACAAAAGGATAATTCACAAGGAACCATAAACGCTAATACAGGGTTCAGAAGTGCTTTGACCAGCCCACAGAAGGAGAAAGGTGAGGACAGGAATTGCTTTCCACTTATAAAGTAGAATTCAGCCATTAAAAAAAAAAAAAAAAAAAAAAAAATTAAAAAAAAAAAAAAAAAAGCTTTTGGCTCGGGCAACTCCAGGGACCCATGTGGCTCTGCCTTTTGCTTTAAAAACCCGCTTACATCCTGCCCTGTGATTAATTCACGTTCCTGTAAAATTAAGAGATTAAAAAAAAAAAAAAAAAAAAAAGATTTAAAAAAATAATAAATACAGCTGTTGGGGAAAATTGCCATTTACATGCTTGAATTTATTTATCTCACATAAAAGGGGAAAATAAGGATTTTTTTGTAAAATAAACTAATCCCATCTGTATCAAATCCTACAGAAAAGTCCCCGCTCCTGTACAGAAAACAGTATTAACTAAAGAAAGTGCTTACTACAGTCCCTTTATTTTGCCAATGGACTGGTTTGTGTCAGAGAAGCTGAGATTGGTTCAAACAGTTACACTGAGACATTCTGCTGACTTGGCAAAAAAGGTGTCATATCAGATAACTTCAGTGAGGCCCTTGAATGCTGCAAAGATGTCCACTGATGAAAATCCACATAACTGTACACTCTCAATGAAGTAAGGCTGAAACTGCCTGGATGTTAAGAAACACACTATAAGAACCTATTGCAAGACCAGCCAATTTCTTCACCTTCTGGAGCAAAATAGTAGCAGCTTGAAATATACATACTGACTATATGGATAGATTGGAATATTAACTCTTCCCTGTAGGCAAAATCAATTAGTAGTATGCCATCAGTTAATCTTGTATGATTGTTTTCATTTATGTGAACACCTTTTTTTGATTTTTTCCTGTTGTTTAAAGTAATCCATACATAAACACATTCCCCAGACACAGATATGACATTAATTTGGCATAACATTCAAGCGGTGTGAAATAGTATTACATTAATGCTGCATTTGCAGGTTATGAGTTATATGCCATAAGATGACACTTAAAAAGGGAGTAGTAAAAAGCAACAGTCCCTCTGCTGCTGGGGAACAGGGATGCATTAATTATGCAGAACGTATGTGTGTGTGGTGGCTCTGGCTGTAACTCTGCACAGCCTTTAGGATTCACTCAGGCATGCATTACCTGAATTACGTGACCGCCGAGCAAAGCTGGCTGGGTTTCATTCCAATACCTCATCGGTTACAAACACAAACCCTAATTGCAATTTGTCACATGCTTGTGCCTGCATGCCATTTCTCTCGCCGAAAATACCACCTCCCCAGGCCAAATAAAGAAGCTGCTCATCTCAAAGACAACTTTCTAGTAGAATGAAAATAAAAGGAGGTTAAGTCTTGCGCCACTCTAGCTGTTATTTGAAGGTGCTTTCCAATTTCTATATTCTTAGAACTCTCTGTTCTGTAAGTGCGATGCTTTTAATGTGCCAGAAACGCCCAAGCTGATAGCCATCGCAACAAAAAGCTTGCAGAGCCTACTGAAAGCAGCTAGTATTAGGAATGGTTACGAACAGTAATTGAGAAAATAAGGTAACTGTCAGGTTCTTAAGTGCTGCCTAAACGTAGAGCAGTCACACACGCTTCACAGAGGTTACGTGAACTACGTAATTTAATGGCATTCATACATTTTCCACACCTCAACACTAGAGAGAAAAAATTCAACATCTCTGCTATTTATCCTTGTCCTCAGTGCTCTAATATAATTACTGGTTTTACGGCACCTGCTGTATTACATTTCAGATTCACCCTTCCCCCAACATCGGCGATGGTATCGAATCTTGATGAGCTAATGCTGAAAAGTCCGTTTCAAGCACCAAAGAACCCAGCCTGCATTTTTATAAGCTGTTTGTGGTTTCAATATACTGTCACTATAGTTGACCACAACATAAATTAGGAGCTCTTTTGATTTTGGCTTGTCTACACTAAATTTTTTTAACATGTACCACACCCAAATCAGAAATTTAACTTGTGTTCTATTGGCCAAGGAATTATTTTGCTACAGATTATTATTACTTTACATTTACCAACTTAATTATCTATACGAAATGAAAAGAATAGCTGTTCTGCTCTGATACTTTAACTCATCCATCCCTGAGGTGGGCACACACACACCCCCACACATTCCCCAGGCACCTACTTGCAGCAGTTTCAGAATAATTCTTCTGAAAATTTCCATAGCCTCTCTATTTGGATCTTGCCAGATAGTGTCTTAGCAATTTTTATTTTATGTTTTTCAGATGAAGTGCTGAAAAGTCTAACTAGCCAATAATCCTTATAACTGATGTCACCTACACTTGGGTCATTTCCAAAAAGCAGGGAAATGTTCAGCCAGGTAAAATCCTGCACTTAGGTCATCACAATAAGCAAGATGATGAAAATTAAGGGAGTTACAGCTTCAACCAGAAACACTCTCAAGACCTCAGACGCCTCACAGCTTAGACTAGAGTACATCAGTCATTTAACAATTTGATGATGCAGGGCATTCTTCTTTGAAGGGATTTTTGGCCTGCTCCTGCCTTTCACCTTTCCCTGAACCACAGAGGGAAGGGGCAGCCCCATTCCTGTACCTGGAACAGGGCTTCCAGGTGAACTGCGTGGATTATCTCAAGCAATTGCTTACAGATTGCTTACTAGGCAGATTTAGACTCCTGAAGGAAACTTGCTTGCCATTTTGGAGACTGGGTGGAAAGCAGAACAAGTTTACACCTCTGTAAGAGGTGTAAAGAGAGACCTTGGAGAGCTATGGGGCAAAGCCGCTTGGCCAAGCACACAAAACCTTCACGATGGCCAATTAGAGTAGGGAAATAGAAAAGGGATTGATTGAATCATTCCATCCACTGCTCCATGCTCAACCTGAACAGCTCTTGGAAGTCTGCATGCTATCTATTAATTCTAATGAGGTCCTGAAGAGAGGGATTTTAAGCGAGGGGAACTGAAACTCTGGAGTGATAAGCCTTAGCTCCAGGTGAAGAGGAGGCCCAATTCTCCACACCTTGTGCTTTATATTTGATGTTTTGCCACCCAACACCATGAGCGATACAGACTATGAAGCTTGAAATCCTGTCTACTGAACAAAGGCAGGTAAAGCTTTTGTTCAGCTCAAGGAAACTCACAACACTGGAGCCAAAAGCATTTGGAACCAAAAAAGCAATGAGAGAGAGTGGGGTAAACTAGGCTGTGGCAAAAAGAATTTAAAAAAAAACAAACCCCAAACCAAAAACCCCCAAACAAATAAAGAACCAAAACTGCTTGGATGCAAATTACTTTTATTCTGCATTTAGTGGACATGGCCAAAGTCTGGTGACCATACAACTTCCAGTATTTATTTTGAAAAATCATGTTTCAGCTATTCAGAATATAAACATACTGAAGAAAACCACCAGCTTTCCAAGCTTGCCTACGCTGCTTCCAAGAGCAAAGGCTGTCAGGCAACTGTGATTTTTTTTTTTTTTCTTTTTTGGGTTACTCTTTTTAAAAGTGCCACACCACCATGGAAATTGATACAAGCACTAATGCCTATTACACATTAGCGTGTAATGCAGTACAGCATACTGGTTATACAATACGCTATTGTTCAATAAACTGTTAAGCAGTAAAACACTACTTAGGAAGGCCATATGCTTGTCAGGGAGATTGTCAGGAGAAACTGTTAGTCATTTTAATGAGAGGGAAACAAAACTAACTCCTCCCAAAACTTAGCTCTCTTTTTCAAGGTAAATTAATGCCAATTAGCTACATTCTTTCATCAATCTTCCTAAATGTGGTTCTTTAGATAAAGCTATAGAAAAAAGAAGATAAAACTCTGACTTATATGTGCTAAGCTTTTTATTCTAACTGAAATAAGCAAAGATTACTTCACCACAAAGTGGCAATTCAGTCATAAATGCAATGGCAATTAAAAAAAAAATCTCAAAAAATAATCGTGCTTTTTCCTGTCATTTTCCAATTCTGTCTGCTTTGACAAAGGAAATGGATTAAACAATGTCAATTTCTTTTCCATCCAGAAATGTTAATAATTTAAACTGTTTGTCATACAAATTATAGAAAATGGTGGAAATAAGGCTTCTGAAGAAAGTGTAGAGGATTCTACAGAGAAGAGGTCCTTTTTTCACTTCATAGAGATAAAACCAGCTTTAATTGCACAGTTTGTAATACCAGTTGCATTTTTGATATAGGAAGAAGATCCACAACTACATGGGCTGTAACTAACTGGGCTCAAAACACTTGTCAACAGAAGAAACATTTACGTGCTCCTTTCTGCATATGACTTCAAAAGTGCTCACCGGTGAAGCCGCACTGACAGGGTAAGTATTTGTGAGTTTCTCAAGTATCACCCGTGAATTCACTTTTAAACCTACCGCTTCTCCACATCGCTCCAGTTGCTGAAAAGCCTTTCATTTTCTTTCTGCAGATGCTCATTTTTTGCCTGCAGTCTTCCCAGGCAGTCCAGGCAATAACCAAGCAGCTCCTTAACCACCTCCGCCGGACTCGAAACTTTCTGTAGCTTCAAAGATCCAAGTCTAAACTAGGACACAAGGGAAAACTGAGTTACTTCACCAGTTCTAGAACGATCACAAAACCTTCATCCAAAAAACCTCAATGCATGCTTAATAAGCATAAAAAATACTTTACAGTCCACTACTTTAAAGTGAGATAACAAATTACTCACAAGAATGGAATACATGGAATAATATACACGCCAATTATTTATGCAGCTAATCCATCTTAATGGTCACCTCTCATTAACAGGCACAGGACAGAAGCACTGATGTACCTTCTAATGGCCAGGAAAAGAAATGCCACACAGTATGTGCAACACGCTACAGCAACACCCTGCTCTTGTACAGATCGGAGGAGGGCAGTAATATAAATTCTATATAAAACGCATTTTTGATGCAACGCAGAACCAGATGAACAGAAAACCTATCGATATTGCTAACATGTTCTCACCATCTGCCCAATGCAGCAGCTAAAGTAACTTGCTGCCCATTCTGGTACCCACAGAGCAGTACAACCACATAAATATTACTGATAAAACAAATGAACATTAATTACCTTTGATTTAAAGTAGCAATACAAGCGCCTCTCTATAATGCCTGCATGCACCTGATGGATGAAAACTCATCTGTAAGTTTTCCCCTTCAGGGCTCAGACAGCAAGTTCGTAACAATAAAAGGAGTCCTTCAATTAAATAGGCAGCTTCAATAATTCAATGGGATTAAAGGATAGGATCTATAATGAATAGTTGTATTCCTTCATCAATGGGGATGTTATACAGGATATACAAGAGGTCTGAACAGGTTTCTTCTGCCTGGTCTGGCAGAAACAACAGAAAACTGTAGTTTCTGTTATGCTAAAGGAGGAACAGTTCAGCCATAGGCACAAAATGGTATCAGCTGAACTATAAACACACAAAGCTGGGTGAAGATATAAAAAACGTTCAACATGACAGTTGGAGGAAATTGAAGAAGGAAGATATTAAGGTTGCTTGACCAGGGTCACATGCATTATCTTAAGAGAAGCAAACCAGAAGTGAAGGACCTGCCTTTGGGGCCCTGGAGCGGGTAGATGATGGGGAACCCAAAGCACCTTGAGGTGCACTTCCACAGCCAACAGAGCCCAGAGAAGCCACAGGGGGCTTTTCTGACACCTCTCCACATCCAGCAGCACCACCATCTGCCCAGCTTGACAGAAAACGAGTTGAGGGAGCAGATCCAAAGAAAAGCAGAGTGGGTTGGATGACACCAGCCAGACTTTGGCCAGCTTAGACCACAGCAGAAGCAGATCTTTCAGGAAAGAGGCATCAAAATGACTTGGCTTTGACTGGAAACGCCTGCTGAAATGTTGAGTTGATGAGGGGTATGTATGTGGAAGAAGGGCCCCTCTATTGCATTTATTGCATAATTATTAAAAGGATTCACGTAACTGTTGTGGCATCTCACTATGAATAGAATTATTACTCAACTCTTTGACTTCAATACGCAGCAGTAACATCTTAAAAAAACATACAAATATATGTGATATGTGCGCTAGGAAAGAGTTCAGTCTGTTTTGTGGCACTTCACCTCTTAAAATTAGAAATGCCATTTCCTTCATTTTTCTCCTCCCTTTATTTTACTTGGGAGGGCATGAGAAATAATGAAATAAAAGTAATTCATAAAAAAAACCATGTAGCATTTTTTAACAGTTTTTAAGAAGTGAAGTTTACTATTGCTATATATAATGTTTTGCTAAAAAAGACCTTGTAAAAATTCCTCATAAAGATTTTAAAGGCATTGTTTGAAACAAATAACAGTCCTTCAACATAGATAAGGTATTTTATCTGTGGAAGGCTCTGCAACAACAAACGATACTATCACAAGCTTCTTCAGCAAGGTTAATTTATCAGAAAATGTGGCAAACCCAAAGGTTTAATTTCAAATTAGCCATTGATCTTTCTTCCAAATTCTCATGTACTGTCTCTAGCATATTGTTTTTCTTTAGCCTGCATACACCTGATGGCTATAGATGAAAAGATGCATTTATTTTATTTTTGGAAATTAGATTACATTATCAGTAACCCACAGAGTGACGTGTATTCCCTGTATATCACACTTGCCGTTTGACAGCATTAACTAAGATGGACATTTGTGTAAAGGAAACTGTTTTTCATCACTTGCAAGCCACCACCATACTATACGGATAAAGAATTCATGCCACACTTTAATACTTGCTGCAGAGATACAGAAGCACAGTAGCACAGATAAATAGCCACACAATCACCTACTTCTACTGTGGAGGAAATGGCAGGAAGAATACATCTTTTTGTCTTATGCTTTTAATATAATCAGCTGAGATAAGGTATGGGCAAATATGCTTAATCAGGACAAATGCACACTGACCAAGTTACAGTTTACTTAGCACAAGAGCATAAAATATGAATACTACAAAAACAAGCTAAAGCGAATAGTTAAAGCGAGTAGATTTCAGCTGAAAGCCTGGTTCCACTCAGAATCAAAATCATGCCAAACGCACAGCAGACATTTCAAAAGCCACTGTAATTATAAACAAACACCAGTTCAGCCTCTTACTTAAAAATATTACATAAAACTGTATCGCTAGTGCAACGTGGAGCTTTGAAACTGCAAAATACATCCTCAGCTTTCATGTAACACTGTCACGAAAGGATTTCTGACAATCTATAAGAAAAACCCCAATGTCCTTCTTTTTATAAAAGCTGATACAGCAGAAGAAATCAAACCAGGTTTTTGGCCATGCTACCTTTTTTGATGAATTCTCAAAAGGGAGAGGGGGAGAGTGGAGAAAGACGTGCACACCAGCCTAACGAGCTGCTGCTAACGTGTGAGCCAGCCCAGAGGAGGCGATGGACAGATTTCCCACCACGCTACAGGCACACAATGAATTTTGCTGCCCATCTTTTTCGGTGCTCGTTTCACAGTTAACACGGTGACACTCTTTAATTTAGTCTTTAATTCGGTCTCTACACAAAGCAACTAACTATCACATACTTTTTAAAGGAAACTTCTCTGGACTGCTTTCCGTGTCTTACATCTGTGGAGCATTTCCAGCAGGCCCACAAAAGGTAAGCAAAGCAAGCCCATCACCAGGAGGCTTAAATTTATTAGGCAGGTGCTCCAATATCAACTGGGAAAAAATAATTCATAAGGCTCACACAAAGCAAGTATTTTTCTGTATTCCTCCGCCCTCCCCAAATCATCTAATCTTAACTTAATACAGTTGTAGGAGTGGATTATCCATTTCAATGCAGACAAACACGAGATGTTTAGATCCAGCCCTAATCAAGCCAAAAGCAATGTGATATTAGATATGCGGTTTTGCTTTGCCTCCTTCATACAGAACATTACACAAAGTGCACCAAAACACTTCTTGGGCTGTTTCTTCATCCTTAAATTGTTCCAACAAGCTATTACACCGCCTATTTAACAAACAGAAATGTTAGTACTAACAATAGCAACACTGTTATCTGAGCAAATTACAGCTGATTGGCATTCCCTCTGTAAAGAGCCCAGTCCTGAGAGACTGATAAGCCATAAAGGCAGCCAGATCCAATTCATTTCCAAAGCATTACGGCAAAGCATGAGCCATTCGTAAAATAACAAAGAAAATGACGTCTCGGGACGGTTTTGCTCTGGAGCCCTGTTAGCATCCCAGATTGGAAAGAAAACTGGTGAAAGGGCCGATGCACAAAATAACACAATTTTAGATCCAAGTGTTCTGAATTTGGGACAAACGAGTATTTTCCACCACTGATTAACACAGAATTTTAATAAAATTGAATTTTTTTGGGGAAGGAGGGAAATCACAAAAACAAAGGTATAAGTTTCTCAACTTAATACTTTTTTTTTTTCTTTGCATGCATCTAACACAAGAAAGTTATTTGTCCTACTTTTGCCAAAACTGCTGTGGTGAAATTGGAAACAATTCTAGGAAGATTCACCAGAAGTGGTTACAGATCAGAATACCATAACACCCAGTTAACAAACTGGGTGGGAATATCAGGACAAATAGATCTTGCCTACTGCATGAGCGAAAGTTCAGCCTTAACACTTCAATAAGCTAATTTTACATATAACATGTTTGCCATTTGGACAACACTTCCAAGATGATCCTCTTTTTGTAAATCCCTGCACATTGCTGCTGCCTAGATCAATTTGTATTTCTTGCCTTTCTTCCAGTTGCTGTGGATCTCTAGCTTCGTATCATCTGCAGATGTAATTAATGTGCTTTCTACTTCCTCCTTCAGATCATTCAAGGAAACATTATGTAAAACAGTGAAGCACTAAACACTTCATTTATACGAAAAGTAAGCAGATCTGCAGCAGGTCCCACTGGACAACAGGCTGACTGTGAATGATATACTGCTCCCCTTCAATATCTGTTTTATTGTTTGTTGGTTGGTTTTTTAAATACACATGAAGATGAATATAGAATCATTTAGAAAGCTGTGTTCCCTTAATCAGAAATCACACTCAGCACTTACCCATTAGACCAGCATTTTAAGTTTAGAAATAAAAACAAAAATTAGAAGCTTATGACAAAACTGTCATTTTCCCATCACCTCTCACCCGGCCCACTATTTGTCTTCTAAAGATGAAGAAAGAAATGATCTCAACCATAAGACAGAAAATATTTTGGAAGTAAACTGAAAAGCTTCTCAAGTAATATTTCTTCTAGTTACTGATGTTTACAGGAAGATGTTTCACTTAGGAGAAAAAAAGGTCATTAAGATGTGAGCCAACACATTTTTTTCATGGAAAATTCTAAAACTACATGCAAATTATTTTATTCTGTAGAGACAGTGGATTTTGATTTTGTGTTAATATACATATGTGATATGTTCTTTGCATTGCTACACTCCACTAGAATTGAGCTATCATATCTAAGGGAGTAAGTATCAGAGGCCATGCACCAAAACGAGAAGCCGTTTACACGGCAGTGCCGGCAAGCTCTTGCTTCCGAGGCAGAATCTAAAGCTAGATACTAACAGTGAGCTAACTTCCAGTA